AGGAGCTCACACACTTTTCTCTGGGGGCATGGTGAATTCTAGCAGATGTAGGTGCTGGAGGAAGGCAACGTCAGCATGCTGACAGCGCTCGTTGGAAAATTACGTGCCTCTTTGACTTGTTCCTTTGACCTTTTTGATTATTTTGGTTTTGTTTTACAATTCCCTAGGAAAGATCAGCACCTGCTTTCCCCTGTGAACTGCTGGTACCTGGTTCTGACACAGACCCGGCGAGAGAGCAGAGATCACGCCACCCTGAATGACATCTTCATGAACAATGTCATCGTCCGGCTGTCGCAGATCAGCGAGGATGTCATCAGGCTCTTCAAAAAGGTAACCACAGCAGCGACGGAGAGCTCTGCTCAGTGAGGATCCGTCCTTGCGTTTTAGTCTAAAATAGAAGTTTACTGTGGACTTCTACAAAACTGTGTCCTCCCAAAAGTCTGAAGAGGTACAAAAAAGCCAAGGTTCTTAAAAAGCAGAGAAAGCTAACAGGGCTTTCCACAAAGTACACGTCACATCTTAACGAGAAAACTAGAGAGGAATTTGGACGGTGAAAATGTAAAGCCATAGCAAGGCAGGCCAGATACAATTCTCAGAGACAACTTGCTGAAGATATAAAGCTAAAAACTTCTCTAAAATCACAAGAAGGAAACCTGCTGCAGGATGTGAAGGGGAATAGATGGGTGAGGTGCAAAAAAGCTACGAGGTAACAGCCAAAGACCGACTGGCTTCTTCAGCGTGGTGCTCGTTATGGAAAAGCTCAGACTAGAGATTTTCTTGGAGGGAGTGGTGGTGTTACCAACCCGAGGAACCTTATCCAACCGAATCGTCATTAGATGGTGCGGAGCAAATCTGTGCAAGGGACTATCACTTATAAGTCTTTCCAGATAATATTTATCCAAGAATTTTAATGATGCTGAGATATAAAACTGCCAAGCGACTAGCGATGAGGTGTGACCTGATGCTTAAACTGGCGTCAGTGCCAGAGAAATGAAAGGTGGAAAACGTGATGACTTTTTTAAAGACTTCTGGAGGGCTTAAGAGAACAGATCAGCAATTTGACTTTAAAAACAGACTTGTTGGGTGAAACTTTAGTAAGAGCAGAATGATAGGCATGTAGGCAGGTACGAGAGGGGAGTCAGCGTGGCATGCCTCAGAAATCTAGTGCAAGTATTTACAGGAGCCAGTGATTGTGTAAATAAGCTGGCACAGTACCTTCAGTGTCTTAGAGGCTTTGGAAAAGGTCCCTCTCTGAAGTTCTTGAAGAAAAGAAGCAGTTGAAAATGAGTGGTTGTTTTCTGGATTAATGACTGGTTAAAAGACAGGGAACAAAAGGAAGGAGAAGTTCAGTGCAGTTCCTAGTAAATGATTTGGAAAAAGAACGAATAGTATGATGACAAAGTCTGCTGATGATACAGAATTATTAATGATAAGCAAATTAAAAATGAGCATCAAAGACTTACTCTCACAGGCAGGTAGACCAGGACTCCTCAGTTGAAAATGAGGGAGGAGAGCGTAATGTGGGAAGAGCATGAGCAGTCACGGCGGTTTATAGGAAGTGAGCAGGAAGGAGGATCTTGTCGTGCCCGCTGGTGCGAGCCATGGGTGGGCAGCAGGCACTGGGCAGAAAGAGAAGGTGAAAAGGAAAGACTTTTTAACAACAGTAATACTTTATCCAAAATATTGCAAATGTAATATAATACATAATGTTACATGCTTGTCTGGCTCTCAAAACCACAGCATGAGGCGTTTAACCTGGGTTCTGGGGCGGTTGTAGGGACGTGAAGGAGGAGTGTTCCCTATCGGAGCTGCCCGGCCCCGCTGCCAGCACGACCTTGGGCTCGGCAATCACCACCCTGCAGCCCGTCCCGTTGTGAACGTGCCCGGTGGCACCGCTGGCCCTCTCCCTCCGCTCCTCGCCTGGACGTTTGCTGACGGCCGCGCTCGGGGACGCTGCTGGGCTCGGGGACCTTCCACCTGGCTCTGTGGCTCTGGTGTTTTCCTCAGTTTTTGTCGCCGGTTTTCAGCAGGGGTAGCTGAGGACCGCAGTCAGCGAGCAGGCAAGCCCGTGGGATGCCAGCCTCGCCAAACAGGAGAGGGGCTCTCAAATCAGTGATTCTCTTGAAATTGTAGCTCGACTGAAGAGTGAATTTAATGTGGTATTTTTATGGCCAGTGTCCTTTAGCTTATAGATCTGACCTGGAAATTAAACTGCAAGGTCAGGTTTGGATTTGCTGATCTGATACAGGACATCATCCCTTTTCCTGTCCTTCTGGCCTCCAGAAACTGGACAGATATGAGATATATCAGTTATTCCAGTTCTAAGTCTGTCTCAAAACCTTCCTCCCATTTGCACGTTATTCTGAACCTGGTTTTGAGATGTATGTTAAGACTATCCTTCTGCTTAGCCTTCCTAGGGCTGCGAATGGTATATCTCACTTTGAACCGTAGGACAAATCTGGTCAGCATTCAAACAAGGACATAGTGTGTTTGAAGTGTTTTTCTTGTAGTGGGTCGATCCTCAGCCAGGACAAGATGCTGAAGTATTTCATCCATTCAGCAGAATTGTATCTTTGTGTTTGTTTTCTCTGTTCCCTCCCTCCCCTCTTTTGAATTTAAATTTTAACTTGCACAGTGCTTATATTCTATAGAAATTGTTGCTCCTTGTTTCTCCCTCTCCTGTCCTCTGCCAGGAGAGGTGGAGCAGCACTGACTCCATGTGCAGCTGGCCAAAGCCAGCACCTGCTTTTTGTCAAAAGGCTTTACAACAGAGTTATGGGGATCCGTGATTTCACTCGCATTTGTCCCCTGAGGTTTAAATTGCAGCAGAACTCACGTGTCCCTGGAAATAATGCCCAGCTAAATCATGGAAAAGGCTTATTTTGTGTTGTCGTTTGCCCTTAATGTGGATAGAGGGGCTGACACTTCTGAGGATATGCAGGTTATTTGTTTCTCTTAACCTATTGCACGCTGTGCCCAAAAGGGATGTGGGGCTGCACTTCCCGCTTGGCAGCGGTGTTCGGTGAGAGCCTTAGGCACAAGAGTGGGAATACGAGCGTCCTGGTAAAAGGCTTTTTGAGGCATCCAGTCCAGCCTTGCAGCTGCTGTGAGGTTGCCCAGAGGTGTCTGTCAGTATTCGATCCGGTCTGGTTCTGCGTGTGATGAGTAAAGTGCTTGAAGCACTTCTGGGGCGACTGTACCGTGCTGGCAAATAAACCGGCACCAGAAGGGTTAAAAGCATCCGCAGTCGTGGTTCAGCTGTTCGGTTTGGTTGTAGATTGCTCTTTGATGGTAAATTAGGGTAACATTTTTTCCAGAGATGTCACTTTTAATTCCTCCCATCTAGCATTTATTAATGGGCTGTGACATGCTGCGGGTGCACGGAGGAGCTGGAAGGTTTTGGGTTTTGTGCTTTCATTGTGTAAATGTGAACAGTCTCAGCAAGGGAGCAGGGACCTCCTCTCTGGGGTGCGAGGATGCGCGTAACTGAGCAGCAGTCGCTCAGTGCCGTGGTTGTCTGCCAGGAAGGGCGCCGGGTGCGGCGCTGCTTCTCCCCGCGACTTCCCGGGATGCGCTTGGCAGCAGTGGGGCCCATCCATCAGTAAATTGGGGTCTTGTGTTTGGTTTGTCTCCACTGATGTGTTTTGCCCTCCCGCTGACCACCAGCGTACTGTCACGGCCGTTGGGCACTCTGATGTGCCGCTCCCCGTGCCAGCCAGGGAGCCTCTGGGCTCACCCATCCCAGGGGGGGAAGGGGCCAGTGGGGACTGAGTTTTAGTGCTGGGGCTGGAGATGTTTAACTGAGCCAGCTCTGGGTCTGACCTCCCTCCAGGCTGGCTTCTCCGGACAGCGATGATGGTGTTTGGGGTTTCGATGAGGTTTGGAGGGGTGGAAATGAGAGATTTCCTGCAGCCAGGATTTTAAACTCCTTCTCCCTGAGAGTTTTTGTACAGAACCAAAGAGAATTTATAAAGCCAGATGTTATCCTGGTAAATAAACGTACATCACTGAAATCAGCAGATCCACTTTGGTTGTCCATAGGTGCTACAGGCTATATATATATTTATATATATATGTATATATCTCCAGTGTCTGAGTTGATTGTTTGGCTCAGCATACCCAAAAAGGAGAAACTCTGTGTTTTTAGGGAAATAGCCTAAGTTGCTTACAAAACACTATTTACCCAAAGTATGTATGTTTTTAGGGGGCAGGGCAAAAGTTGTTAGGAGTGTGGTCCTGATATGCAGAAATAGTTTGGAATCCCAGGAGAACAGAGAACTAGAATCAGTTGAAAAAAAGCCCTCTATTGAAAACAAAAAATGAAACTGTAGGCCCTAGGTCTTAGAAAAAAAAACCCTGGCGAAGCCGAGAAAGGAAATGAGTAAAGCTTATAATGAAAATACAAAAAGGAGATGAGGATTGGATTCCTGAAACTGGCAGATAGAGGAATTAAATGCAGAAGCAACAACTCTTAAGTAAGAAGTGTGTGTTTGTACAAAATACACGCAGCAGTGCCTTTAATGCCCACGTCCATATTGAGTGTCTTTGTGTGCCTGCAAGTGTTATGAAGTAATTCAGTAATAAAGTGGTGCATGGAATCGTATGCAGATGAATATAAAGTGATGCACATAAGGAGAAGCAGCTTTCCAACTTGAGTGCATAAGGCTGGGCTCTGCACTAAAAGTGGGATGAGATGGTGAAGTTAAAGCACCAGGCTCTGAGCGTGCCAGCTCAGTGCTCGCTAGCAGTCCAAAAAGAAACCAAAAGTTAGGAATTGCCGGGAACAGAGCAGAAAACATCGTTAATCCCCTGCAAATCCATGGCAGGCCTGTATCCCAAATCCTGTTGTTTTTCTTTCTGCTCCTTCCCTCCCAACACACACACGCTGCTGCTGTGCTGGGTGGCATCGAGTGACAGCAGCTCTGTGTTGTGACACTGGCATCAACATTTACCGAGGTACGCCTGGGTGGGATGGGGTCAGGCAGCAGCGGTGGGTTCCCGGTGCGAGGGTGAAGGACTGCAACCGCAACACGGTGGGTACTGTGCAGGGTCTGGCTGGCAGGACCTGGCCCAGGGTTAAACCAGCCGTGCATCTTTCTCCTGGCAGTCCTTCCAAATTTGGTATTTAACATATCACTACAACTGAGAGCCCCAACTGCATCCCGTCAGTGTGGGTGATGTGAGGGCAGGAGCAGTGATGCAGATTGAGTGTTTTCCTGACACCTGGCCCTGCTTCCGTGACCCTCTGATCTGAAGCCACGGTATATATATGGCAATTTTCATAGTGGGAGATTGCTGGAGCCCAGAGACGCAAGCCCAGCGTCTTTCAC